TTCAATTTTTTCAAATTTGTGTTGGTTCTTCTGCATCTTTTGCACTTTCATAAGCATTTTAGAATTATTTTGTCAGTCCCTAGAAAATGTCTGCTGGGATTTTGATAGACATTGTGTTGAGAGACATTCTGATAGACAGATCGATTTGGGGAGAATTGCCATCTTAACAATAGTATTGAGCTTTCCAACCCACGTCTCTCCATTTATTTAGGCCATTCATTTATCTCAGTAATGTTTGTGTTTTTCAGTGTACAAACACTGCCCTCTTCCTAAATTTATTCATATTTCATGAGTTTTGTAAATATTGTAAAAAGAAATTTTAGATTTTCATGGCAGTTCTAGAGAAATAGAATTGATTTTTGTGTATTGGTTTTGTATCCTATGGGCTGGCTCTTCTGCACTCTTTTCATAGTGCTAGCAGGCTTTTATCTGCATGTGAATTCTACAGACAGAATCATGTCATCTGTGAATGGAGTTTTTTTTTTCCTTTTTGATCTGAATGACTTTAATATTTAATTTTCATTTTTTCCTTATTGTATCAGCTAGGATCACTAGTACAATGTTAAATAGAAGTGATGAGAGAGGACATCGTTGCTTTGTTCCCCATCTTAGGGGAAAGCATTCTATCTTTCATCATTTTACATGATTTTAGCTGTGGGTTTTTCACAGATGCCCTTTATCAGAGTGAGGAAGATCCCTCCATTCCTATTTTGTTAAAAGTTGTAAACCTGAGCGGTGTTAAGATTTTTGTCAACTGTTTCTTCTGCAGCTAGTGAAATAATTATGTGGCTCCGGTCCTTTATTCTATTAATATGATGCATTACATTAATTGATTTCCAAACGTTAAGCCAATCTTGCATTCCTGGGATGAATCCCATTGGTCATGGAGTATAATCCTTTTTATATGGTTTCTTATGTTTGCCAATGTTTGTTAAGGATGTTTGCATTTATGTTCATTGGTGATACTGGTCTGTGGGCTATTCTTTTCTTGTGAGTCTTTGTCTGACTTTGATATTAGGGTAGGCCAGTTCCACAAATGATCTGGAAGACTTCCTTCCTCTCCTGTTGTCTGAGACTGCTTTTGAATGATTGCCTTATTTAAATATTTGATAGAATTTAACAGTGAAAATATCTGGGCTTGGGCATTTCTTTGTGAGAAGGTTTTGAAATTACTGATTTAGTGTAGAGTTTTATTCAGATTTTCTATTTATTCTGGAGTGGCTGTTGGCAATTGGTATCTTTTATGAATTTATCCATTTTACCTAAGTGGCCTAACTTATTGGCATAAAGTTGCTCAACGTATTTACTAATGCTTTTTAGTGTCTAAAGGATCATTAGTAATATTCTCTGTTTTGTTCACAATTTTGGTAATTTATGTCTCATTTCTCATAATGCCTGTTTTGACTTCGGAAGTGAATAAAACTGTTTTTCATTTTATTTGGATATTCTTTACAGATTTTCCGGCACTACTGACTTTGCAGTAAAATTTAATCAGAAAGGAACTCAAATTTGTGGCCCCTTCTCTAGGAAGGTGTGGTGGGAGATGGTATCTGTGGCCGTGGTGGTCTCAGGGTGCAGATGGTGGGCAGAGGCAGCCTCAGGTTGAAGGGTCTCAAGAAATGCCCTAGTCCACACGGAAAAGAAGATCCATTGTCAGCTGCCAGGGTGGTGGCCTAGGTGGAATCCCTGCTAGGAACCGGATAGGAAGGCCATACAGCTTCACTACACAGCAGCCCTGGGGTGCAGCTGAGTTTCCCGGGGCGAATGGACAGGTAGGATTGGGGTGGCCCAAGTGTAGGTCAGGGGGTCAGGCGAAACTGGACCTCCTCCAGCTTGGGGCTCCCTAGGAGGTCAGGTGCAGAACCTATAGCAGTCTGGGGTTTGATGCTGGGCCTGCGAACCCCGGGGCTTCCTGATGGGCTTTCCAATTAGGAGCTGCCTGCTTAGGGCTGGGAAGGGAAGAACCCTAAGCAGTACATTGAGGGAGTAAATGTTTTGTTTCTTGGAAAGAGTTGCTGATGTTGGTGAAGTCACAGGAGGAGACTGGTGAGGGTTGGGAAAAGCAGGGTGGGAGAATCAATATGGACATTGTCTTTTCTTCTCTTCTTTCTTTCTTTTTTTTCCCTGAGCGAAGTCATGGCTTGAAATCTGGAGAGCACGAGGAGGAAGTATCCCTAAGAGATACAAAGATTTCCCACCCAAACCTGATTTTTCTTTCCCCGCCCCACCCGGGTCCTCCCAGCCAGCCTCCAGGAGCCTCAGGCCCAGTGCCACCATCAGGTGGCGCCAACAGGACATGCAGGCACTTCGCAGTTGTGATTGTTTTCGTCAGCTCGCGGGTCCCTGACAACGGGGGAGCCTGGACGCTGCAGCCAGGTGACCTGGATTCAAACTGCGGCCCTGATCTCACTGGCGCTTTCCCTCCTGGTGCCTCAGTTTCTTCAACTGTGAAATAGTGAGGACATTCCTGCACTTACCTCCAGGGTGGGTTTCTCAACAGCAGCCCTATTAAGAGTTTGGGCCAGAGAATCCCTTGTGGAGGGCGCTGTCCTGGGCATTGTGGGAGGTATGCGAGAAGCACACCACTGACCCCCTCCTGCCAATCCCCAAGTGACAACCGGAAATGCCCCATGCTTTATCGGGTCTCCTTTGGATCTGGGAGCTGCGCTTAGGCATTTTCCCACCTGAAACTTGAGCTCATCTCTGCTTTGGTCCAAATAAGGCCTCTCTTTTTTTAAAAATGTTTTTCTTTAAATATTGTATCTATCTTTTAAACAATCAATTTTCTTCCTTTATCTTTGCGTTCAGTGAATCCTTCCAGACACTTTCTTACTATATTTTGAAAGGTATCCATTCTGATTCTAGTAATTAGCATATCTAACTTGCATGATAACTGCTACTACCCCAGTGGAGCTCTGATTCCTTGAGTACAGGGAATGGAGTGCGTGTTCCTGACTCTGCTCTGGATGACGTAATTCAATTTATTTTACTTTACTTGTCTATGATGTTGCTCTTCACTTGTAAAATACGAATGTGGATGTGGCTTGAGTCACTGGGTGGTTTTATTTCTTTATTCACCTAATATTTGTCGTGTACCTATGCAAGGCAGATACATGGCATGATATCATTTCATGGATCAAACCACAACAAATAGGAAACTATATTAAGGAAGTTATAGCCAGGTGTGGTGGCGTGTGCCTATAGTCCTAGCTACTTGGGTGGCTGAGGCAGAATTGCTTGAGCCCAGGAGTTTGAGGTTGCAGTCAGCTCAGCTATGATCACCATTGCATTTCAGCCTGGGCAACTGAGCAAGATCCTGTCTCTGAAAAAAAGAAAACAGATGTCATAAGGTGTTTACATGTACTCTATGTCTCAGGAGACTCATGTCCTGTAATTTTTCTAAATGGTGGCTCTATGCGTTTTTTTTACAAATGTTTGTCTGGCATTTCTTTTCTATCCTTTTACTTTCAACTTTTCTGTATCTTCTACCAATAGTATGTCTTTTTGAAATAGTCTATTGTTGTTTATTTATTTATTTTTGCCCCTCTGCATTCTTTGCCTTGTAATTGGGGTGGTTGAGTCCATTATGTTTAATGTGGTTGTCACCTGGGTTGGGTTTAAGTCCACCTTGTCATTTGCTGTTTGTAGCAGTACATCTTTTTTGGTCCATTATTTTTCTTTTTTTGCCTTTTTCAGATTAATCAAAATCTTTTCATTATTTTACCCTGCTTAAGAAATGTTCTAATTACCCACTGTCTTATCATTCCCTTAATCATCCAAGAAAGAACAATATTAATCTGTAACTTATTGTAACCAATTGGAAACCATAACTTCCCTTTCATATACCTGTGCAGATAGCCCAGGAGAGAATTGGTGCTCTGGATCTGAGACACAGTGGGTGGAAGCAGGAGAGTGATTGAATGGTGAAGCTGTAGCTGCAGAGGCATCTGGGCCCCTCACCTGCACTCCTCATAGATGTTTCCTCCACTGAATGCCTGCAATGCCCTCTCCTCCATATGCTCCTGCCAGAGTCTCCTCATCTCCACTGACAGGAGCTCCTCCCATCTACACTCACAGTCTAAAACTATGGCCGTCCTTGATTCTTCTTTCTCAGATCACAGATATAATTTATTAGCAAATGCTATGATGCAGCCACAATCCCATCACTTCTCATTATTTCCACTGCTGACACCCAGGTCAAGGTAACTGACATCTCTATCCTGAAATGCTACATACCTTTCCCACTGTTTTCTCTACTGCCTTGCTTGTCATTCTGTTCTCAGTAGAGCAGCCAGAGAGAAGCTTTTAAAGAATAAGTCCTACCATGTCCCACTTTTCAAAACTGTCCTCTAACTCTCCATCACACTCAGAGCAAAAGAGAAAACCCTGCCCACACTCTCCAGGCCTGTCTGCTGTGGCCACACCTCAGAACTCATCTCAGTTACTCTGTCCAGCCCTTCTGGCCTCTTCCCACTTCCCAGAACACAGACACCTTCCTGCTCTAGTGCATTTGCATGGGAGCCTCCCTGCCTGGAAAGAACTTTCGTAGAAATCCTCATAGATATCCCTCATGTCCTTCAAATCTTTCATCAAGACCTAGAAGCAGCTTCTCTGCTCCTTCATGCAACTCTGCCTGGCTCAGCACACTTTCCCCACCATGTCCATGAGGGTGACCCAGAAGTACTACAAGGTATTCCATTCTGGCCCCAGGCCTTCAGCAGCTGCTCCTACATGAGTGGGCCTGGTGCCCACATCAGCTCCTCAAGCTTCTCCAAAGTGGGCAGCAGTGGCAGCAGCTTTGGGGGTGGCTTGGGCACAGCAAGGGTCTGGGTGGAGGCTGTGGCAGGGCTTGTGGAATGGGGGCATCATAGCCATCATGTTAAACAAGACCCTGCTGAGCGCCCTTAAGCTAGAGGTGAATCCCAACACCCAGGCCGTGTGCACACAGGAGAAGGAGCAGATCAAGAACCTCAACAACAAATTTGTCTCCTTCATCAACAGGGTTCATGTTGTTCCTGGAGCGGTAGAACAAGATGATGGAGACCAAGTGGAGACTCCTAAATCAGCAGAAGATGGCTCAGAGGAACATGGACCACATGATTGAGAGCCACATCACCCTTCAGCAGCAGCTGGACATTCTGGGCCAGGAAAAGCTAAAGCTGGAGGTGGAGTTTGGCAACACACGGGGCTGGTGGAAGACTTCAAGAACAAATATGAGGATGAGATCAATAATCATACAAAGATGGAGAATGAATTTCTCCTCCTAAAGAAGGATGTGGATGAAGCTGACATGAACCAGGTAGAGCTGGAGTCTCACCTGGAAGGGCTGACTGATGAGACCAACTTCCTCTGGCAGCTGTGTGAACAGGATATCCGGGAGCTGCAATCCCCAATCTGACACATCTGTGATGCTGTCCATGGACAATATCCGCTCCCAGGACTTGAATAGCATCATCACTGAGGTCAAGGCCCAGTAAGAGGAGATTGCCAACCACAGCCAGGCTGAGGCTGAGAGCATCAGATCAAGTAGGAGGAGCGGCAAGCTCTGGCTGGGAAGCATGGGATGACCTTTGTCACATGAAGACAGAGATCTCAGAGATGACCTGGAACCTCAGATGGCTTCAGGCTGAGATGGAGGGCCTCAAAAGCCAGTGGGCCCCTGCAGGCCATCATCATGGATGCCAAGAAGCATGAGGAGCTGGCCATTAATGAAGCCAAACTGTCCGTGCTGGAGGCCGCCCAACAGTGGGCAAAGCAGGACATGGCGTGGCAGCTGTGCCAGTACCAGGAGCTGAGGAACATAAGCAGGCCATGCACATCGAGATCGCCACCTACAGGAAGCTGCTGCAGGGCAAGGAGAGCTGGCTGGAATCTGGGATATGGAAGGTGAGTATCCATAGGAGCACCACCAGTGGCTACTCAGTTGAGCTGAGCTTGGCCTACAGGGACCTCACAAGTCCTGGCCTCAGCTACAGCCTGGGCTCCAGCTTTGGCTCTGGTGGGGGCTCCAGCTTCTTCAGCTGCACCAGCACGTCCAGGGCTGTGGTTATGAGGAAAATTAAGACCATTAAAACCCATGGTAGGAAGCTGCTGTCCAAGTCCTCGAATGTGCTGTCCAAGTAAACTGCCACAACAGCCCCTCTCAGTCTACCCCTTCCTGTGACTACCCCAGAGCCTGTGGGGGAGGCCACTGTGCAGGGGAGCATCGGGAACAGGAGACCCACCTGAGGCTCAGCCCTCGCCCTCAGCCCACCTGTGGGGAGTTCACTGCCTGGGGTACCCCCACTTGCACATGCCTTCAGCTACAAAATAACTGTGTGTGTGTCTGTGTGTCTGTGTGTGTGTGTGCTTCCAAAATAAAGCCACAATTAGGTCTGCCAACTGTGAAAAAAAAATCTTTCTTTGAAGGTCACATTTGAAAGGAGGCCCACACTGACCACATAGTACAACAGCCACCTCCCTGTCCCCACAGCCCACACTCTGGATCATGCCCCACAGCACTTGCCACCTTCTAACACCAGCATTGTCCTTCCTTACTCTGCTCATAGTGTATCTTACGTCTGCCTCTTCTCTCTAGAACATATGCACCACAAGGCCAGAAATTTCTGTTTTTACTTTAAAGATGTTTTCCAAATCCAAAAACAGTCATTTACTTAGCAGACAACAAATGTCAGTTCAATGAATGATCACCATAGAGCACCTCCCTATTCTAAAGGCAATATCTTTATTAATGCAGCCTCAGGCCAAATGCTGTTTTGTGGCAGCTACAGCACAACATCCTCTCACATCGACATCAGAGCCACCAGCGGTTTTGTCACCAGTGCTGCTTGTGTGTCCCCCCTCCCCTTATCCCTCCTCCCACACCAACCCTCCTGCACACGGCAGCACACAATCATACGTCTCTCTTCAGGAAAGATAATCCTAGGATTGTAAGTCCAATTTCCAACTGCATATAAATTTAAATTAGACTCTGTTTTACAAATCCATAGGTTTGGATTGGAGTTGGCACTAGGATCACTACAACTCAGGGCAGGAACAAGAGTAGGAGAGAGAGCAGAAGGAGTTCCAACAGAAAGTTACCTACAATGAGAAACTATGGGAGCCCTCCTCTCTGTAAATTTCAGAATCTGGTTTCTGTAAGAATGCTGGTGAAAAGATGGAAAATACAATCCAGAAAGAGCTCTGGAAAGAGGGCAAGCACTGGACAGGTCTGAAAACTCAGTCTCTTGATACCACAAGGACTTCTGTGTGCAGGGACTGCCCTAAATGACATCTGAGTCCCTGTGATCACAAGTCCTGGTGGGACAAGGTTCTACTGAAGGACCAAGGCCATTGGAGCAGCAAAGATGACCCAGGTGAGCAGTGACCACATAAAGCCCACAGTGGCCTGAGCTCCCACTGGCCACAGCCCCATCTACTCTCCTCCCCTGCAACAGAGAAGTAGAAGAAACACATAGACTCTGGAAGGCTCTCAGGTCTTCCATTTATTTTGTCTCTTAAATTTTAGTAATCTCCTCCTTTAATTAACTCATCAACCTCCCATAGCAAGAATTTGAAGAAGTAAATTCATACTCAGATTCTAATTTTAATAGGGAAGCAGGAAATTGCAGCTTAGTACACCATGAAGTTCAGACAGAGATAAAGACTTCCACGTCCCATGTCTCTGGAACAGGAAGCATAATTGGGTAGAAACAACATGGGGCAGTGCGGGGAAAAGGGTCATGGAGGACATGGGGGTGGACTGGTCCCCCACTTTCTCACGTTAAACTAACAGGGATGAAGACACATTTGGACACCTTTGCAGAAAGAGAATTCAGGGTACTCGAAGTCACAAAAGGGAGGCATGAACAAATCTTGCTTCTCAGTCCCACACAAGGCGGCTATCTCACACTATAGAGAAAATATTCATAAACAAATTAATATTAGTCACAGTGAGAGGTGACACTTTGAACCGCCCATCGCATACTCAGGGCATCCAAGTCAAAGAAACCCCATAGCAAACCCGCATTCCCTCTGTTCCCCACAATACCCCACTTACATCGGGGCCCCTGCCCCCAAGTGTCACCTTTATAAGTTATGAGAGACACACTAAAGCCCTGGGCAGTGTCAATGACTGGGGTAGAACACAAACAGGACCTGGTCAGAGCCCACAGGAGATGCGGCTAGAGGAGGAACTGTGGGCTGGGACAGCTTCTCCTTGGGCTCAACCACAGTATCCCAATGATCTCAGGGTTCAGCCCCCTTTATACTTACTTGCAGCCTGAGAGTATCTCTCTCTGTTTCCATCTGTGGGAAGAAAATGTCCTGTGAGAGGCCAGAAAGGAGGGCTATAAGGTCCTAGAGCAACCCCCTAGTCTTTGATCCCAGAGAAGTTCTCAGAAATGTATAACTGCAGATCCAGGGCAGTATCAGAAAATAAGAAGGAAGCAGGTGTGGGTCCTGGACCAACTGTCCTCCTAAGGTCTGTCCTCAGCAGGGACCTTCCCCTGTGGTTTGTGACTGTTGGCAATAAGGTCCCCACCACCACAGTCTTCAAAGGGAAGAATCTGTTGTTCGTTTTGCTTTACAAACGAGTAAGTGTTGTCACACGGGTACCCAGCTGGGTAGGCCCATGTGTGTGGATGGTGCTTCCCAGTAAGGAGACAGAGCACACTTCTACCTGGGGCTCAAAATCCCCACTAGGACAAGAAAACTCAGACCCCACTCCTCACCCCTTCCCAGCCAGATCTTCTTCCTCCACATCACAGCTCCAGTGACCACAGCTCCAAGGACAACCAGGCCAGCAACGATGCCCACGATGAGGACGGTGGGCTGGGAAGATGGCTCTGGGAAAGGAGGGGAAGGTGAGGGGCCCTGATCCCCAGGCCTCAGCCCTGACCCTGCTGAAGGGCTCCAGAAGGGCTCTTGCTTCTCTTGAGAAAAGACATGACCTCTCATCCTCCCCTTTATCCCATCTCACTCCTTACCCCATTTCAGGGTAAGGGGCTCTGGCAGCCCCTCGTGCCGCACATGGCAGGTGTATCGCTGCTCCTCCCCAGAAAGCACCACCACAGCTGCCCACTTCTGGAAGGTTCCATCCCCTGCAGGCCTGGTCTCCACAAGCTCTGTGTCCTGGGTCTGATCCTCTCCATCCCTCTGCCAGGTCAGCATGATCTCCACAGGGTAGAAGCCCAAGGCCCAGCATCTCAGGGTGGCCTCATGGTCAGAGATGGGGTGATGGGCAACGTGTGCCTTTGGAGGATCTGAGAAGAGTCAGAAAATTCAGACCCTTTGCCCTCCTCATGGGACACCAAGCAGTGCTCATGTGACCATCCTGAGAATAGACAGGACACCTCGGATAATCTCTTATTCCTTGCAAAGTTCGAGTCTCTGATGGGGCATAGGGACTTCTGGCCCTGACCTAAGTGGAGGCCGAGGGACTTAGAAGAGCTGGAATCAGAGCACCACACACATTGTGTGTGAGGCAGAGAAGAAGGCCTGAGAGCAAAAGTCACGGAGCCCAAGGTTGTTGCAGGGGTCAAAGGGGACCGCTGATCAGTGTTCCAGGGACTGTCTTTCCTTCCATTCCCTCAAAGACTTCATCCCTTAATTGTCCCAGCAAGCAAAGCGGATACTCAGAGTCAATCTCTGGTACAGGATCCGGAAACCAGGAGGATTCTTCCCACTCAGGACTAGAGGGAGGGTGATATTCTAGCATTGGTCCCATTTTCCTCCCCTACTTGTGCGAGGCCAGCCCGGGAGATCTACAGGAGATGGTGAAGGCGCCCCGTGGCCCCTGGTACCCGTGCGTGGCAACGTCTCCTTCCCGTTCTCCAGGTATCTATGGAGCCACTCCATGCATCCGCCCTTCAGGTAGGTGCTGAACTCCTCTGCATATTTCTCTGCCTCCCACTTGCGCTGGGTGATCTGAGCTGCTGTGTCCGCCGCGGTCCAGGAGCGCAGGTCCTCGTTCAGGGAGATATAGTCCTTGCCGTCGTAGGCGTGCTGGTGATACCCTCGAAGAAAGCGTCCATCGGGTCCCACATCGCAGCCATTCATTCCCTGGAGCGTGTGAGACCCTGGCCCCGCCCCCGCGGTCAGCCCCGCCCACCGAGTCCTACCCACTCCCCGACCAACCCGCGGGGATTTTGGGTCCTGGACCAACTGTCCTCCTAAACTGAAAATGAAACCAGGTAAAGGCGCCTGGAGTTCTCTCGGGTGGAGGATCTGGGCAAGTCCTGCAGTCTCAGGGCGGATCTCAGACTGGAGACTCAGGGAGACCCAGGCCCTCCGTGGGAGATGGGGAGGGGTCGTGACCTGTTCCCCCAGCCTGAGTCCCTCACCGGTCTCGCTCTGGTTGTAGTAGCGGAGCAGGATCCGCAGGTTTACTCGGTCAGTTTGTGCGCTCTCCTTGACCTCCCGGTCCCAATACTCCGGCCTCTCCTGCTCCACCCACGGCGCCCGCGGCTCCATCATCGGACTCTGGGCGTCGCTGTCAAACCGCATGAACTGCGTGTCGTCCACGTAGCCCACTGCGATGTACCTGTATCTGGACTCCCCGCGGCCAGGCCGGGACACGGCGGTGCTCAAATACCTCAAGGAGTGGGAGCCTGGGGGCGAGGAGGGGCTGAGACCCTCCCGACCCTCCTCCCAGCCTGGCTCCCTGGGTCCTGCGCTCCTACCGGGCGGCCTCTCGGTCCTCCCCGCAGAGGTCGTTTCCCTCCCGACCCCGCACTCACCCGCACGGGTCTCGGTCAGGGCCAGGGCCCCAGAAAGCAGCAGGAGGAGGGTTCGTGGTGCCATAACCGCATCCTCGGTATTTGGGGAGAATCTGAGTCCCCGTGGGTGCGTGGGGACTTTAGAATCGGGACCACGGCGACGCTGATTGGCTTCTCTAGAAACCCGACACCCAATGGGAGTAGGAACTGGGTACACGTCGTGAGTATCCGCGTCTTGAGTATCCGAAAGAAGGACTCGACACTAGTTGGGAAGGAAAAAGGCTGTGGAGATGGGGAATCCCCAAACGCTGAGCCTCCCCACCCTAGACCTGAGCCATTGAGAGCCACGCCTGGAGCGATGGGACTTCACCGGAACCTCTTCCTGCTGTGCAGGATGTGTCTCAGGGGCTCCCTGAGCCTTCGCCCCAAGGCTGAGAAACCAGGGAGAAAGCCTTCGCATGGAAGCCAATCTCTCTCCCTTCACTTTTCATCACGGAATCCCTGTCTCTGGACTGAACTTTCTGCCTCCCTCTATAGCTGGACTTCCCTGGACTCTTTTGGAAGAAAACTCACTACAGGAAGCTTGGCGCCAGAGATTGAGCTTGGACTGGAAATGGAGGTGTAGAGACAGTTTTCTTCTTCTTCTTTAAATGTGGCAAAGTTGTGCCTGAGCGCATGAGACAGAGTAGAGAACAGTTTCCTTTTTATTAGCTGCAATGAACAGTAGAATCTTGGTAAGCTTTGAATGATACGGAATCTTATGTGTAAAAATTGTTACTTTGGTCCCTTGGTACATAAACTTGTCTAAATAAATTACAACTGATGACTCACAGAGCTCCTAAGTTTTGCTTTCCCAGACTGTGTATCTGTGACTCTTGCTGTAGTTTAAAATTACCTTCATTCCATAGCCCTGAGTTTCTGTGTGAGTCCAGGACATCTCAGTACAGAGTAGCTCACTGTGTTACCGTATGTTGCAACCAGGAGCCAGTACAGACTTCATTCACCTCACAGTCGCAAGTGTTCAATGCAGTCACAATGCCCCTCACCAGTGCTCAGGCACTGCCTGTTTTTAGGAAGGGTCCACATCTAAGTGTTGTGCATATTTTATTGGAACACTTATTGTTTTTAATACCTGAAACAAAAGCATAAAAAACAGTTTTGAAGCAGTCCCACATAGGGTGTTAAAGGCCAAATGCAAGGAACACCCTGTTAAGCTCTGTAGATTGATGTATTAAAAATCTATAAAACAATGTTTAAACCTAAGAATTCTGTTGCTTTTGAATTATTTCCCTCTGCTCCTTTTACTCGCCTCCTACTCCTGCAGCCCTTCCCTCCATCCCTCTCATCCCTCTTATCCCTAAGGCCTTCCTCTCCCTTTAGTCCCCACCACCCGTCACTCCTGAATTGTGGCTCTAGCACTGTCCTATTACCTGCTACGTGACTGTTCTCTCCACAGTGGTCCTGCTACTGTGAGTCAGAGTGTGTCATTTCTTCACCTAAAACACTACAATGACTCCACCTCGATCTTGTGAAGTTTCTAGTATGTCAGGCATGTGAGCATATGAGGGCATACCTGGTTCAGCTTAGGGACTAAATTAAATTTTATTGACTGATTGAATGAAATATGATTGTATTAAAATTTAATTGCATCACAGAAAATTATAAAATGAAAAATACTGGGAAAAGAGAGTATTCTGTTTTATGCATGTAGTGTGCATATAAATTCATAAATTCATTCCGTGTGTCTGTTGAGCCTGTGTATGAATTTTATATGACTGCATAGCAAATTGCCATAACATTGGCTTTAAACAATGCCCTTTTATTGTATTTATTTATTTATGTTTAGAGACAGAGTCTCCCTCTGTCATCCAGGGTGAAGTGCGGTTGCCTGATCATGGCTCACTGCAGCCTCAAACTCCTGGCCTCTAGGGTCCCCCTTACCTCAGTCTCCAGAGTAGCTAAGACTACAGGGAAGTGCCACCATGCCCAACTAAATTCTTCAAAAGAAATTCTTTTTTGTAAAGAAGTTGTCTCTGTAGGGCTGAGGCCCCACAGGGTCATGGGGTGGCCCTTATGCTGTGCTGAGGTGCAGGATCTGAGAAACAAAGAGACAGGACACAGAAGTACAAGGAAAATGCAGCTGGGCTCGGGGGGCATGCCACCTATGAGCGGGGTCAGACGAGGCCCCGAATGTCCAGAAGCGTATTTATTGTGTATAGATTAAGGGGCGGAAGTGAGTGAAATCATCTTTAAGTATAGTGGTAGGGTCCTGAGTAATAAAACAAGGGGCCCGCCCCTGTTAGGTCACTGAGGCATGGAGGTGGGCTGTGCGCAGTGAAGAGGGTGCAGTGTGCAATATCCCTATCTATGGGCAAGCTACTCCTAATATTTATAGGAGGATGATTTCAGTCACACAGCAGTGACAGAGCTGTCAGGGTTACCGCCACCTGCTGGTAGCTTCCAATGAGTTCTGCAGGAAGATGCTCTTTGAGCAGCAGCATAGTAACAAGAGCCGATAAAGTTCACAGTCACCAAGGTGCGATTGCTGGTCTGGGGGCAACCTTCCACAAGAACTGGAGCCAGGTCCTACAACCCCTTTATCAGGAGGAGTGGCTCTTTCCCCAAGCCTGCCATCCAGCGGGTATGCACGCTTTACGATACTGCGCGCTGCCACCTGGGCTATGCGTTCTTGTCCTGATATAACTGTTTTCCCTTAAATCATGCTCTGCACTGTGTCTGCTCCAGACATTCCTCTGACTATAAGCTGCTTATTCCTTAATTCATGCTGTGTACTGTCTACTCTAGGCATTTCTCCAATTATGAACTAAGATACAGTTTTATATATATATATATATATATGGAAATAACTGAGTGGTAAGATATTCTGTAGGCACTCATTCTATGAACTTACATATGATTATATATAAAGGATTATACAAAGAGAAATAACTAAGTAATAACACTATAAACTGAGGTATTCTCCAAGGCCTAATTCTATAAACTAATATTTGATTATATAAAAATTATATAAAAGGAAATAACTGAGTAATAACACCACAGACTGAGATATTCTTCAGGCCTTAATTGTGCCAGGATTCTGCTTAGCTCTCCTTCCTATATGGGGGGTTGCTCACATCTCCCAAATTGCCCAGGCTAGTCTCAAACTCCTGGTTGCAAGTCATCATCCTCCAATATTCCCATAAACCTTAGGATTACAGGGGTGAGCTACACACCTGACCAAACAACACTTATTTATCTATTTACAGTTCCTTAGTCAGAATTCTGGGCATGATTGGAGGGTTCTCTGTTTAGGGCTTCTCAAAGCTGTGTTTTCATTTTGAGGGCCCCCTTCAGGCTCATTCAGAGGCAACAGAATTGAGTCTCTGGCAGTTGTAGGACTGAGGTTCCTGTTCCTTGCCTGCTGTCAAGGTAGAGAGAGGCTTCTCTCAATTCCTGGTGCCCATCAGCATTCTTTGCCACACAGTGGAGGAAACCCCCCATGCTGAATTCCTCTTGCACTGTAAATCTGTATGCTTAGGAAGAACCCAGTCCTATCAATGGTTCACCAGATGAAGATGGCCCGACCCAGGATAGTCCCTGTCTTAAAGTCAACTGATTTAGGACCTTAATTATATATGTAAAAATCCCCTCAAGACAGCACCTACATTATTGTTCGTTCAATAACTGCGGCAGGTGAATGGGCAGCGGCACATGTCTATCATGGGGGCCATGCGATAATCCATCTAGCATGGCCTGGGTCTTTCTTTTGACTTTAATTGGGACACAGTTGGAAATTGAAGTTCAAATACAACAATCATTGTGAATGATAATAAAATACATTATATTTAGCCATGGAAATTCTTCTTACCTCTTAAAACCAAATGACATGTTTAATATTCTATAATTAATTTAGGCGAGAAGTGGTGGCTCATACCTGCAATCCCAGCACTTTCAGAAGCAGAGTCAGGCAGAGAGCCTTATTTCACGAGTTCAAGATCAGCCTAGGCAGCATGGCAAAACCTTTGTCTCTACCAAAAATATAAAAATTTTAGCCAGGCATGGTGGTGCATGCTTGTACTCCCAGCTACTCAGACAGCTGAGCTGGGAAGATCACTTGAGCCCAGAAGGTCGAGACTGCAGTGAGCTGTCATCCTGCTACAGCACTCCTGCCTGAGTGGCAGAGGAAGACAGTCTCAATAATAATGATGATGATAATAAATTTAAAGCAAATGAAAATTTAAGTGAAATAATTCATCCTCTCTTGTGAAGCTGTATTAGTTATTTACTGTTGTATAACAAATTACTGAAAACTTAACAGCTCCCACATTTTCCAATACTCAGGAACCTAGGAGAGGTTTCCCTGAGTGCTTCTGGCTCAGGGCCTGTCACGAGGCTGCAGTCCAGCTGTCAGCCAAGGGCTGCATCATCTGAGGGTTCAACTGGAGCTGGGAATCCACATGAAACATGGCTCAGTCAAATGGCCATTGCAGAAGGCCTTGTTCCTTGTTTTCCGGTCCCAGGAGGCCTCAGTTCTTAGCCACATGGATCTTCCTGCAGGGCTGCTTATGACACAGCATCTGGCTTCTCCCAGAGACAGAGAGACAGAAGGGGAAAGCCACTGTGAGTTTTATATTCCACACTCAGAGTCAGAAACTCTTATGTCAGCATTACTCTATCTGTTAGAAGCTGTATCAGTCTGTTCTCACACTACTATAAAGAAATAACTGAGACTGGGTAATTTATAAAGGAAAGAAATTTAATTGACTCACAGTTCTGCATGAGGAGGCAGCCTTAGGAAACTTACATTTATGGCAGAAGGGGAAGCAAACATGTCCTTCTTCACATGGTTTCAGGAGAGAGAAATGCAGAGCAAAATGAGGAAAAGCCCCTTATAAAACCATCAGATCTCATGAGAAATCACTATTATTATGAGAACAGCATGGTGAACCATCCCATGATTCAATCACCTCCCACAGGTTTTCTCCCCAGCACATGGGAATTACAATTCACATGACAATTCAAGGTGAGATTTGAGTGGGGACACAGAGCCAGACCATATCAGAAGTGCATCATTAAGTCCAAGCCCCACTCACAGGGAGGGAATTAAGCAGCATCTCTGGAAGGGAGGAGTATCAAATAATTTGTATACATGTTAAAAGCAAAATTAAAATTATTGTCTCAAGATTTTATAAATCAAAAGATTCTCTCATCTGATTACTTTTCTTTAATGCTTTAAGCTTCTTGTTTTATTTTATTTAAAGTTTGAGGGTATATGCACAGGATATGCAGGTTTGTTACATAAGTAAACATGTGTCATGGTGGTTTGCTGCCCCTATCAACTCAGCTCCTAGGTATTAAACCTAGCATGAATGAGCTATTTTTCCTAATGCTCTCTTCACCACTGCCCTCCCTCAACAGACCCCAGTATGTCTTGTTCCCCGCCCTGTGCCCATGTGTTCTCATTGCTCAGCTCCCACTTATAAGTGAGAACATATGGTGTTTGGTT